CTGCAGAGCGAAGCTTGAGCGAGCTCAAGTCCACGCTCTCAGAAACTCACAGGGGTGTTCTGCAGACCTGAACCCCCAGCCCTACTCAACTGGTGCCCTCTCTGATTCTTACGTCTCCCCGATTGTGGCGAGGCGCCTGGCCGCCCCCTGGCACGGCCTGCGTACGCTTCGGTGACGGCGTCTCGGCTTGACCGCCCCCCGCCGGGCCTTCGCGAGGTGCCCCGTGCCGTATCGTCGTCGTCGTCGTCGTCGCCGTCGTCGTCGTCGTCGTCGCCGTCGCCGGTAAATGCATCGGCCAGAGGAGTACCACGTCTTCAGGGATGAGGACATCATGGGGGTCATCCAGGAGTGAGGGCCAGACCTGCGCAGTCTCCCCGGCCTCCTCCCTGGTGCTCCTCGCGGCCCCTTTGTGCGGGCCTCCCCCTCCACGAGGCCGCTAGTTCAAGAGAGTGGACGGGAGGTGTGAGGCCCTCACCTTCGCGAGACAGCCAGCAGCTGCTGCACGGTCATTCTGCGCCGTCGCGTAAGAGTGGCTGGTCGTCGCAGCCGAGCCTTCAGCAGCCACGAGACCCGGGTCGTTCAATGGACGCCCCCTCGCCGAAACCAGAGCAGCACGTCCATGAAAATTGGGCACGGCCAGCACGCGAGACCAACATGTCGGCCTTCGTGGGGTCACATGTCCTCTTTGCTCACCTCTGCGCCAGTTTTGTGGCCCTCGGCTATGGCCAGGGTCGTTTTCGCAGCCTTTGGCGCCCTGTTCGTGGCAGAACGTAGAGGAGATGGCAGGGCACTTGTAAGCAGGAGGCACTTGCACACGACCGCCACTATGCCTGGCCAGGGCCACCTTGGGCCAAGGCATGGTATGTACGCCCTCCTGGCCGAGGCCAGAGGGGTCTATGTGCCCAGCATGGTCCTGGCCAGGCATGGCGGTGGTGGTGTGAAGAGGCCTTCTGCCGTCGAAGGGAGGGGGCGAATGGGGGGTAGGCGCACTGCTGCATACAGCTGGTTTCGGCCCGCCGCTGAGCATTTTCCTCGACGCGCGACCCTCCGCTGCGCTGGGAGGCGCTGGGCAAAGCAGCTGCACGCAGCTGGCCCGCCAGCTCCGCCCCGATGACCCCCCCCCCCCCCCCCCGCAGGAGCGCGAAGACGGCAGCGCTGCGCGCCTTGCGGCCTGGGCCAGAGAGAGTCTCCCGTATTGCAGTCGGACTCGATTGGAGAGGACACGCGAGAGGACACAAGACCCTTCCGAGCGCCCCATTGCCGCAGGAACGCAGGACGCATGGGCCGCGAGACACAGGACACAAGGGTACCCTTGATTTGGCAGGGTCCTCCTCCTCCTCCTCCTCCTCCTCCTCCTCCTCCTCCTCCTCCTCTTCCTCCTCCTCCTCCTCCTCCTCCTCCTCCTCCTCCTCCTCCTCCTCCCCCTCCTCCTCTTCCTCCTCCCCTCCTCCTCACTAATCTGGGCCGGCTGTATCCCCAACCCTGATCTTTGGAGTAGGGAGGCGCCTGACGTAGATTGGATCTAGGAATCCAGAGGTGCCTGCTTCCAACTTCGCGCGGGGGCGGTGCGAGGGGCCGGGGGCGTCGCCGCGCTCTGGAGCGCCCCGCGCGGCGCGGGGTGGGACGGACATGGCTCCCGCCAGAGGGAGGTGAGCGACGCCAAGGGGCGAGGCCTGCGGGGGGAGGGAGGAGGACGAGGAGGAGGACAAGGAGGAGGAGGAGGAGGAGGAGGAGGAGGAAGAGGTGAGGTTGGAGGGAGGAGGGAGCAGGGAACAGGGAGGAGGGAGGAGGAAGGAAGGAGCAGGGAGGGGGTAGGAGGGAGGATCGAGGAGCGAGGGACGAGGAGGGAGGAGGGAGGAGGGAGAGACGGGAGAGGAGGGAGAGGAGGGAGGACAGAGGAGGGAGGAAGAGGGAAGAAGGGGAGGGAGGAGGGAGGAGGGAGCAGGGAGCAGGGAGGAGGGAGAAGAGAGTGAGGGGAGGAGGGAGGAGGGAGGAGAGAGGGGAAGGAGGAGGGAGGAGGAGCCATTTTGGCAGGTCAGATGAGGACAAGTGTCATTCATACCGTGAGCTCCTTCAGGAGCAAAGTCTTCACGGCTCAGCTGGGTACTCCCCTGGCCCGCTCCCCATGTCGCTTGTTGCTGGCAAGCCTCGTGGGGCTTTCAAGTGTTCTGGTGGATCTGCTCCCGTAGCCTGTGGCATTGGACCTGGTGCAAACATTGTGGGAATTCGTGGGAGGATGTGGAGCCAGCAGAGATCATGGACAGCCAATGGCCGCCACTGAGCGCACTCAAGTCTCTTCGTTGCTTGGTTCAGGAGCTGTCTCGGAGGGGGGGGCACAGCTCGCCCTTCACAGACCAACCGTCTCAGCCAGAGCCCAGCACGGAAGAAACTTAGCAGCTCAGTATCATTTGTAACCTGTTTGACGCTACAGAGACAGCCCACAGCTACCGAACGAAATTGCAGTCCGCAGCTCCGCAACAATTGGCCCCTGCGCAGAAGAGGGCGCACGACGCCAAGCATCATATGAATCACTTGCAATCAAAGTTTGGGACGCTCGTGGCAAGTCGCGAGTGCACGTAGGAGTGACTGGCCCAGCAGGCAATCCACATCAAAGAAACCCTTCGCCATATGGATCATCATGGCGAGGAACACCGAGCTGTCTTTCAGGAATTTCACACGAGTGTCGTGGGCCCCTCGCAGCCTGATTTGTCGGCCAAGAAGATCAGTTTGTCGTCTGCCATGGACGATGAGATTTAACTGCACCTGGAACCGGATGAGATGCTGGGGCTCACTGAGTCTGTGGACCTCACAAGCAAGGACAAAGAGGAGGCTCAACATCGTATACAGAAGCTTCCGCGTTCATTACCAGAAACGATGCAGTCAATACTCGGTAGGATTAACAGGCAAAACGAAGACGTGGACAATCTAGTCTTGTGCAGAACCCGAAGGTGGCGGTGGTACCTCAGGCTATCAGGCTCAGCCGTCGGCCCCATCACCGAAGCCAGACGCAAAGCATCACGGCGATCGTAACAAAGCAGGCCACCAATCCGTTCGCGAAAAGAGTTGGCACAGGCGCTCAAAGTTCCTGACGCTCGCGAGCAATACCGCCGAGGACATTGGCCTCGTGATCACGTCTGCCCTCCGACGCCTGCCCCAAAGAAAGTGGAGACAGCTCGGCAGACGAAACCCAGCGCAGGTCACGAAGTGGCGAGCGGCGACCAAGGGAGACCTCACCGCGGGGCCCTGTCGAGCCGAATCGCTGGAGGGTCAGGCGTGAGCTCAGCCTCTTCATCAGAGGCTACGTCTACTTCAGTGGCGCCCACTGCAGGATCCACTGCCAGGGGTGTTCCAGGCGATCGTGAGTACGGCGACCCTGGACATTGCCTTCGTCATCGCGTCTTTTCTCCGACCGCTGGCCCAGAGAAAACGCAGGGGCGGCTCGGCAGAGTAAACCCAGTGCAGGCCCCGAGGTGGCGAGCGGCCACCAGTGGGGACCTCCCCGCGGGACCCCCTCGAGTCGAAACGCTGGAGGGCCAGGGGCAAGCTCGCCTTCCACTTCAATTGCCACGTCTTCTACAGCGGCGCCAACGGCGGGATCCACTGCCAGGGGCGGGTCAGATGTTCGCGGCCCCCGTCACTTTGCCCCGGGGAGTCGCGTCCAAACAAGCACGGCCCCGCCTCAAACCCCGCTGGCGCCCGGGACGGCTAGGAAAAACATGGCGCCAGGATCGCTCGCTCAAGCGCGCGTCGCCGAACCTTTCTTCGCGCCCGATCTCTGGGTCAGCGCCCCCGCCGCCGGGTAAGTCTAAGGCGAGCCAGTTTGGATTGGAGGTTGCCAAGGCGCGGCGGAAACGTTGTTGGACTTTCTCTTTGTCTGGGCGCGCCGCCTTCCAGCCCGCGGGCATGGGGGCGCAGTTGAGAGAATGCGTCAAGCAAGGTAGAAAGAGCGCGGCGGCCCAGCCGCCAAGACCATCGCGGGCAGGTTTCCAGCAGGAGCGCTGATTATAGTGAAGCATTGCTTGGAATCACGGGCGCCCGACAGCGGGGACCTGTCTAGAGGCAGACTGGCGCGATGACATCTTCGGCTCATGGCTCTAGGTCGCCTCGCGCCCATCACCTGCCACTTGCATTTGGGAGTTAAGCCCGTGGAAGCCATGGGCGCCGAAGTCCAGAAGGTCGCGCCCCCCGGCGTCATCGGGGGCGACTTCGGCGAAGGCCCCGAGAAGCTGAGCGAGGCCGTCCCACCGCATGAGCGTGCAGGTCTCGCCAGAGCTGATCGGCGGGGGCGTCGCGCGCGCTGATTGGCCACGCGCGTGCGACCGATTGTTTTTGTGCCCATCGCATCCTTCATGCGCTTTCTTCGGTTCGAGGTACTCGCAGACGGCCCCGTCTCACCGCGCGCGCCTGTCGCGCTCGAGCTGTCGGGGGTTGACCTGGACATGGCGGATGCGTTCAGATCGCGTCGGGGCGCGCTGGCCCCCTGGATCGTGGACCCCGCCAGGGGGCCACCTACTCACGAGGTTTGGGCCGGGCCAGCGGGCGCGCTTTTCAACCGATTGGCGTCGCAGGAGACAAGTTTGCATTTTCGGGGGGGCTCCGCGACCACGCGTTGTCTGTCACGCACCAGGCGCGCAACGGGTGGAACATCCAGGCGCGGGGGGAGGTCTGGCAGGCCGCGCGCCGCGCTGGCCCAGACCCCCCCAGCAGGCTTCCCGTTCGAATGTCATTACGTTCCTTGAAATAAGATGCTCCGCGCGAGCTCATGCCGTCGCTGGGGCCCCAGGGAGCGATGGTGCAGGTGGCGCGGGAACTGCGGGGGGCCTGGCTCCTCGTTTGAAAAGGGCGCAGGGCTTCTAGCCGTGCTGACCTCGCGAATCTCACGGTTCAGCTGCTTTTGTTGGAGGTCAGCGGAGGCTTTTTTCGGCCAGCTCGGGGAAAAGGGGGCCGTTGTTAGCGTTTTTTTGTTAGCTGCCTGCTCGGTCCAGTCGCCAGTTGAAAGCGCCCCTGCACTCCTGAGCTTCTCGAGCAGGTGCTCGACCTTGCTCCGCGCGCGCGCGGCAACTTGCCTGGTCACACTTTGCGGCTCGCAGGCGCCAGCGGTCAGCTCGGCGCCGAGAAACCGCGGGGATAGGAGCGCGTCGGGCTCGCAGTTTTATCCGAGGGGCGCCCGGGCCAGTCCGAGCGCGCGAGCCAGGCCCGCCGTCGCGGGCGCCGATCGGAACGGCGAGTCTGATCTGAAGTTCGGCAGGCCAAATATCAGGCGGCCCCGCCAGAGGCCCGGCCTTTGCGCGCTCAAATCAGGGAGGCTACCGAAGCCTGCGCCCTCCGTGACAGTAGCCGCAGAGTTGGCATGGGCGCGCGCAAGCCAGACGGCTGGCACTCAAAGAATCCCCCCCCTCAAACCACGCCCACGAAATTCTCGCCAAATTGTTTCACCCTGTGGACCTCGCGTCGGCGGCGCCAGAGGCCATTCGGACACTTGTGGCTTGGCGCAAGTTCAAGCGAAGAGGAGGTAGAGTGCCGTTCGCGCGCTACCCATTGGCATGCAGGCTGCGCGGCAAGCAGGGCAAAAACGAATTTGGGGGGCGGGGGGCTCGGATTGGGCGGCGGCTGTATTATCGCCCAGAATCGCAGCCCGACCCAACATGTCCGGCGCCAAGCTGCGCTGGCTGAGTTGGCTCGCAACGACAAAATCCACGACGCAGGGTGGCGTTGGATTTGATGTAACGAGCATGTGCCATGCCAGCTCCTTTCTGCAGAATCCGACAGCAAGTGCCCGTCCAGTGCCAACCTGCCGGTGTCCATCTCTAGCTACACATGGTCTCGGCCTTTGCTTTGCGACGGCACCCCCATGCCATGCGTCTTCCCTTGGAGAGGAGTTGTCACCGGGTCTACTTCTGCCGCGTGCGAGGCCAATCTTCCTCCCAAAACAGTGATCGACGAATCTGCCGCAGGGCTGCCTGGCGATCCCATGGCCCCCTTGCGCGCAGGTGATTTGACGCGCCGCGCGTGGGGGGGCCAAATCTCATCGAGCGCGCCGGGGAACTAGCTGGTCACCTCAACGTTGCTGGCCATGAGCTGGCGTCTCGCCTTAAGCTCCCATTTTCTGACCGTGACCTCTGCGCGGTCGCGCCGCCCAGTCGAGCGCTGAAAGGTCAGGCAGGAATGGGTCTGTTAGGGGGCGATAGGGGGCACCTGGTCGCTAACTAAGGGGGTGGACTCCGTCGCGGGCAAGCGGCGAGCTTGCCCGAGAGCCCGCCTGACTTGCGCCATGCGTTCCCGCAGAATGGGCCAGAAGCGCCAGCGGCTCAGACAGTTTAAATGAAGCCAGGAGCTTCAGCGAGGCTCGCGGCCACGAATGTTACCCCCGCTGCCACCTGCGGAGGCGGCGTTGCTGCGTTCAGCCCCTGTCAGGTCAGCTGCCTGCGACGAGCTGCCGCGCCCTCGAGTGGAGCTGCCGCGCGCGCGATTGATGCGGAGCTGCCCCTGCGTCTTTCGAAAGCCGCCGCTCGAGGTGGCAGGCGCGAATCTAAGATCGATGTGCGCCAGAATGGTGGGTGGCCACTAGACCCAGGCAGTGCCCCCAGCAAGTGCGTGGCGACTGATTCGCGCCTGCCCAACTTGAAATGATTATGCGGCTCAGTCCGCCGCGCCGCCCGTTCGCCCGTCGCGAAGGACTGGAGGCTTAAGCCCTCGATGCCCGAGGACAGCGGCGGGGCGCCGCTGCCGCCGAGTGTTTCTCGGTCAACGAATGCACCCCACTTGCCATCTTGAGCGATTGCTCGTTTAGAACAGGCCATGGAAGGAGCCGCCCCCGCGGCAGAAGCGCTGTGGAGTTGGGGGCGCAGCCTCGGCCCGAAGCGCACGCGCTGCCCCGGGCCTTGCGCGATGCCCCATCGAATGTAGGGGGCGCCCGCGCGGAGGACGACAGAGATTCGAGGTTTGCCCCCCTTGCCCCCTCGATGGGGTCGGGAACGCTGGGCCGCTGAGCTATGCGTCCACTCGCGCCTGGCTCCTGGGCTTGAAGGCTCCAGACCCAGCCGGAGACTGGGATCTCAGGCGCGTTGGCGGGAGCTTGAAAGAATGCCCACCCTCTTGAGTGCTCGAAGTGTGCGGTGGTCTACTCGAACGGGCTCTGCCTCCTTTTTTGTTTCGGACCTGGCTTGCGCTGGCTTCGGCGTCTGCGAGTCGGATTCTGCTGGTCGGCTGGTTCGGGGCATCTGCTGACGCATCCCTCGTTCGTTGGCTAGAGTTCTTGCGCGGCGGACCGCGCCGCCACCGCGGTAGCTTCGCGCGCCGAGGGTGCGCTTCCCAGCCAGATTCCAATATATTTTAAGGTTCTGCCATTAAGCCAGCAGCAGTCTTCATCGGGGACTCAATCCGTGCCCATTGCTTGCGCAAGATTGCAGTCGACATGGCCGAAGGCTGGGCGGGCCCCAGGCGCGTTGAGGCACGCCGAGAAGATTCAGAAGATGTGAATTCGGATGGCGGGAAAGATGCTGCCAGCGATGACTGCGCGGACTGGCTGGCCAGCTACGGCGCCCGCGCCCATGAGTTTGACCAGCGCGCTGGCCATGTGATCAAACGCGCTTGGGCTCACTATGAGTCCCTGTGTAACAACGTCGCTGAGATTCTAGCCGCGCGGCCTGTCCCCGCCGAGTTGCACCCCAGTCTAGGCGAGGGGAGTGCGGGCCCGCGCGCTGCGAGTCGGGGCCCCGAGAGGCCCGGGAGCACGCGCGCCCCTCGCTTGGTTGGGGGGCTTGGAGATGCCCGCGCTGCCTCCGTCGCGTCCCGGCACGAATCCATTGCGAGCGCAGGGGCCTGGGCCGCGGCATCATGAGGGCCCCTGGGCAACGGGGGCACGTCGGCCATGCGCTGCATGCGCCTTGGGTCATGCCCCACGATTCCCCCGCATTGGCTCGCGCGTTGCGCGGGAAGTTTTTCACGGAGAAAGCGCCCGAGCTCGCCAAGCGCTGCGCGCCGAGCCGCAGGACTAAGGAGCCCCGAGCCCTCCTCCGCGGCGGCCCCCCAGGCGCCCGTGCGCCCCGCGGGCCCGCCGCCGCCTTCGTGGATGATGTTCAAGGGGGCCAGGGCGGGGTGCCAGTCGCCGCGTGGCGGAGGGGGGCGGAAGGAGCGTCCTCACTTGTTTGGCGCGCTCTCTTTTCCTGAAATATGTTGTTGCGTTTGTGGGATGTCAGACTTCTTAGGATTCGCTGATCCTGCGGAGGGAGGGGGCGGGAGAAGGAGCAGGGGGGGGGGGAGGAAGGGGGAGGGGGAGGGGGGAAGGAGGACGGAGGGCGGAGGACGCAGGACGGAGGGCGGAAGACGGATGGGGGGAGGGAGGAGGAAGGAAGGACTAGTGCAAACTAGTGTAAACCCAAGACCCATCAACGATGTAAGCCCTCCTTCGAAGCTCCCTCGTCATAGGGCCCATGCAAGGATTCATTTCAACTGAGGGAAGTGCCCCGTTGGGAGACAACCGTTTGAAGACCCGGAAGCGTGCCAAAACACCGTTTTCGGGACTCAAGCGCCACGACTCAACGTGACTGTTGCGTCTTGACGATCCTGAAGTGTGCCAGAACGCCAATCTTGGGGCTTCAACACCGCGAGCGAATGCAACTACTGCGCCCGACAATCCTGAACCGTTCCAAAACATCGCTTCTGGTGCGTTGGCCATGGGATTTTGGGATGTTTTGCACTCTTATCTAAAACGAACGTGCACTGCGCTACGGCGAGAGCCACATTAAAGAAACGAGCAGCCCTCAATATGTGAAGTTTCAACATAAGTTTACACGAGTGGGCGCGGCGCCAAGACGAGAGTCACAGTTTGAAAACGGCCCGCCCTCCATCCGTGAAGCTCCTGCATTGTTTCAGAAGGACGAATGCGCGCGGCGTTAAGGCGACAACCACAATTTGAAAACCACCCGCCCTCCATCCGTGAAGCTCTTGCATTTGTTTAAGTCGAATGTGCGCGGCACCAAGGCAAAAGTCACACTTTGAAAACCAACCGCTCTCCATTATTGAAACGCTTGCAACGTTTCAACACGAGTGCGCGCGGCGCCAAGACGAGAGCCGCATTTTGTTTCTGCGATTGTCAAGACGAATGAGCGGCACTCAGGCGAGAGTCGCATATTGAAAACCACCCGCCCTCCGTCTGTGAAACTATTGCCAATATCCCAAGATCATGATGACAACTTGTGAGGAAGTCTCAGGCGAAACGCCCGGCCTGCCCTTTCGACCAGCCCTGGGGCGCGACAGGGAGGAGTTGTTGATTAGGGAAAAGAATGGAGGGAGGAGGGAGAGGAGGGCGGGGAGGGAGAAGACGGAAAGGTGGGAAAGGAGGGAAAGGAGGAAACGGAGGAAAAGGAGGGAGGGGAAGAGGGAGGAGGGAGGGAGGAGGGAGCAGGGAGGGAGGGGAGGACGGAGGGCGGAGGACGGAGGACGCAGGACGGAGGACGGAGGATGGAGGACGCAGGACGGAGGACGGAGGAGGGAGGACAGAGAAGAGAGGAAGGAGGGGACGAGGGACGAGGGGAGGAGGAGGAGGAGGAGGAGGAGGAGGAGGAGGAGGAGAGGAGGAGGAGGAGGAAGAGAGGAGAGGAGGAGAGGGAGAGGAGGAGGAGGAGGAGGAGGAGGAGGAGGAGGAAGGAGGAGGAGAGGAGGAGGAGGAGGAGGAGGAGGAGGGGAGGAGGGAGGAGGGAGGAGGAGGAGAGGAGGAGGAGGAGGAGGAGGAGGAGGAGGAGGAAGGAGGAGAGGAGGGGGATGGAGGAGGGTGGATGGAGGGGCGCCCTGTGACGAGCTCCGCTCCTGGGGAACGCGCGCGCGCGCGACGACAGCCTCGCGGCGGTGGCGGCCAGCAGTAGGGCGCTGCTCACGTGCCACGGTAGGTGCGCCCTGGCCAGCGCCATAGACTCTTGGAGCGCCAGGGGCGGCAAAAAGGGGCAGATGACTTACGGGGGGGGCCCAGGAGCGGTGTCTATTCCCTCCTGGCGTGGCCAGGGAGGCGCATGCACCGCTCCTGGGCCTAGGATGGGCCAGGCTCGGGGCAAGGGACGTGCATAGATCCCGCCGGCCCGAACTGGCTCCGGGCAGAGGGGGGATATCATGGCGGGGGCCACGATATCTCCCCGGGCTTCATGGCGCCTCTTGCTATTTCATACGTCCCTGGCCCCCCCCGGTGGGCCGCGCCCCTGCCGCCGGCCATGATTTGCTCCCCCTCTCCTGGGCGCCCCCGATTGGAGCACGTGGCCGCGACGGGAGTGTCAGAGGCTCTGCTCCTCCTCCTCCTCCTCCTCCTCCTCCTCCTCCTCCTGCTCCTCCTCCTCCTCCTCCTCCTCCTCCTCCTCCTCCTCCTCCGCGTCGCAACTTTGTTCGCCCTGGGCGTCTTCGCCCGGTGTCGGGCCCCGGAGCCAGCACAGATCGATCCGGCATGGGATTTGCCGCAGAAAGGTGGGGTCTGGGGCTCCCGTCGCGATTTTGCGCGACGCTTGATGCTTGTCGCAGTGTCGGATCGCAGGGCCCTCATTCATTCATTGATTCGTTCGTTCGTTCATTCGCGTGGCAAGCGGTGCCTGCAGCGTCTCATGCCCATCGCGCCCCCCGCTGCATCCTTCGGCTTTGGCCGGTGGGCGGAGCAGCCTGTCAGATGCGAGCGGTGCTGGCTTCTGAGAGCGTGCGGGCAGTGGCGCGAAGTTCGAGGCCGAAGTTGGGAGGAGGGAGCGCAGATGGAACAGAGCGATCGCACTGTAGAGCAGGGGTGCCGTGGAGGCCCCACGTCACGGTAGGCAGCTCGAGCCCCCACAGTCCGGCCGTGGCACGAGATATCTTCCGTGCGTTTTCCTTATGAAAAAAACTCCTCCCTGTCGCACCTCGAGGCTGGTCGAGAAGGCGGGCCAGGCGTTTCGCTTGAGACTTCCTCACAACTTATGGTCCTGATTTTGAGAAGTTGGCAACAGTGTCACAGATGGAGGGGTGGGCCACTTCCAATATGGGGCTCTCGTCTCGCGCGCACTCATGGCAAACATTTGCCAGAGCTTCACGGATTGAAGGCGGGTGGTTTTCAAGATTTGGCTCTCGCCTCAGCCCCGCGCACATTCGCTTCAAACCTTTGGAGCTTCACGGATCGAGGGCGGGTGGTTTTCAAACTGTGGTTCTCGCTTTTGCGCCGCACGCATTCGTTTCAAACGTGTGCAGGAGCTTCATGGATCGAGGGCGGGTGGTTTTTACATAACAGCGAAGACTGATAGGTTTCTAATGGGGTCAAAAGAGAGCATCTGATGACTCCCCAGGGGGGTCTGGGCGGGAGCCGGACATGCGAGAACCGGGCTCGTTTTAAGTAAACAGCTCCTTCCGCCCCTTCTCCCTCCTTCCTCCCTCCTCCTCCTCCTCCACCATCACTCCTCCTAACGTTCTGCTTGCTCTCGTCTTCGTCCTCAGCTCGCCTTTGGCTAGCAGCGCGTGCTGCTGGCGTGATCTGTGACGCTGAGGCTCTGGTTTTGGGTTGGCCTCTCGTTCTGCTGGTGGCCTGGCAGATTCGCTCCGGCCCGAAGCGTGTGCTTCTTTGGGTGGGGGGCCCAGGTGCACTTCTTCGCGGGGGAGGGGGGCGTGACATACCGGGAATCTGGACACGCATGGCGTGGCCAGCGTGCAAGAGGTGGAGCCACATCCGGCCGCATGTCTGTCCAGCGCTCGGCTGTGGTGTGACCACACATGCTGTCCCTCCGCGTGCATGTCCAGCGCAATGGCTCCATGCTCCGCATGTGAGCCCAGCGGCGTCTGTGTGTGTTCCAGCTTCTTGGGCAGATTGCATCTGTGTGAGTTATCTTCTCGTTTTCGACCAGCAAGGAGTCACAGCAGTTAAGCACGCACAGATGGTAATTACGAGGTAAGATTGTAATGGGTCGGGCGGGATGCCCAAATTGAATTATACCACCCACAGGGGTGGGAGACACAGGCGATAAGAGCTCGATAATCCGATCATGCCAACAGATATATGGTCGTAGATCTAGCAGCTGGCAGGATAAGCATATCCGCTGCAAGGTCAAGATACATTATGACGGGTTTGACAACTCCAGCGACGAGTGGTTGCCAAAGGACTCCACGCGCATCGTGGCCGACTTCCAGGCAGGGGATCTCCTGCTTATCGTTCCCAGTGTCTTCGCGCCTTGTTCCTCCAAGTCACCCCGTCTAATGCGAAACATGTCAGCACGAGAGCACGAGGTGTTTTACGCTTCCTGGGCGGAGCCTCGATTTTGGAGGATGCTCCGGTCTTGCATGGGGTGTGTTCGGTCGGTGGGGTGGGGGGGCGGTGGGGTGGGAGGCGGATCGGGTCCACGCTGGCTGATCCGGGCGGATCGGGCCTGGCTGGTGGAGCCAAAGCCCGTCGGTTGGATTGGGTCGCGGCGGGCTTGAGCCAGGCGATTGAGCCTGGTCGGGTCGGGCCCCCTTTCGTGGGCGGTCGTGTCGGGCTGTTTCGGGCGCACCCGGGTCTGGCTGGATCTGGCGGTCGCCAGGTTGGGCGTGAAGGCATGGTCGGGCCGGACGGGCCGAGGGCACCGTGAGTCGGACACTTGGTCCCTCAAGCTGCTTGAGCTCCTTTGTCGGGTGGCCGGACCGGTTCGAGCGCACCCCGAAGGAGGTCAGGTCGGGCAAGGCCTATAGGTCGGGTGGTCGGTCGAGCGAGGCCAGCGGACCCGAAGGCGGTTGGTTGGGCCAGGCCGGGCGGATCTTACCATGAGCCTGCCCGGTCGCGTACGGAGTAGGCGGCGGTCGCTGACCTCCTACGCATCAGAGGCCTCCAAGATGCTGTTCTGGATCAGCACTTTGGAACAATCTGCAGAAACGTTGCCACTCACTCGTTCGCGGGATAGTCATCAGTAACGAACATATTCATTGTTATAAGTTTGAAAAGAGGTTGGATGCGGAGGGCCCGCATTCATGTCTGAAAGATCTTAGCTTGCCCTTCATGATACCATTATGGTTGCTCAGTTGTTGGTCTGCTCTGAAGATCTGAGGATTTCGCAGAACTAACCTGAGTGAGAGCTGGAACTAAGGATATGTATGTATGTATGTATGTATGTATGGAATGTATGTATGTATGTAATGTATGTAATGTATTGTAATGTAATGTAATGTAATGTAATGTAATGTAATGTAATGTAATGTAATGTAATGTAATGTAATGTAATGTAATGTAATGTAATGTAATGTAATGTAATGTAATGTAATGTAATGTAATGTAATGTAATGTAATGTAATGTAATGTATGTATGTGTATGTATGTATGTATGTATGTATGTATGTATGTATGTATGTATGTGTGTATGCATGCATGCATGCATGCATGTATGTATGTATGTATGCATGCATGCATGCATGCATGCATGATGTATGTATGTAGGTAGGTAGGTAGGTAGGTAGGTTATGCATGGTGTATGTATGTATGTATGTATGTATGTATGTATGTATGTATGTATGTATGTATGTATGTAGGTATGTAGGTATGTAGGTATGTAGGTATGTAGGTATGTAGGTATGTAGGTATGTAGGTATGTAGGTATGTAGGTATGTCGGTATGTAGGTATGTAGGTATGTATGTATGTATGTATGTATGTATGTATGTGTATGTATGTATGTATGTGTGTATGTGTGTATGTATGTATGTATGTATGTATGTATGTATGTATGTATGTATGTATGTATGTATGTATGTATGTATGGTACTGGGTACTATAGCTCGCAGCTTTCTTTAATCCAAACTTCCGTTGTATTATCTTCCCTGTGCACTTCTCTCCGCGTGTGTGCTCCCAGGCTTTCACTTCATCCATCTCCCTCGAGCCCAATGTTCCCCCGTGCCTTTCCCAACAGGTGCCAGGCGTTGGGCACGGTCCCCAGCCCATGCAGGCACAGCCACCAGGTGGGACAACTTTGCAGGCACAGCTGCCGATGCAGCAGCCTCAGAGCAAGGAGCTCGCCGTGGGTGCCAGGCTGACTGTGCTGAGCCCCTCTGGCGTGCGCCAAGAGTGTACGGTCGTGCAGGTCGACCTGGATCAGGCGAAGGTCCACTATGAAGGCTTCGACAGTTCACACGACGAGTGGCTTCCAATGAGTTCAAGTCGCATCGTGGCCAGACAGCCAACACAGCAGCCGGCCCATGGTCCTCAAACACGGCAAGGGCAGCAGCAGGCGCCGGGGGCAGACTTGGCTGTCGGCGCCAAGGTCACCGTGCTGAGCCGGACAGGGATGAGGCGCGAGTGCACGGTAGTCCAAGCGAATCCAGACAATTTGAAGGTTCATTATGAAGGCTTCGACAGCTCGCGCGACGAATGGCTGCCGAGGACCTCCAATCGTATCGTGAATGATCAGCAGCAGCCTGCCCAACCAGTGCAAGCTCAGCCACCAGCAGGAGCGAGTCCGCAGGGACAGCAACAGCCGATGCAGCAGCCTCAGAGCATGGAGCTTGCTGCGGGTGCCAAACTGACTGTGCTGAGCTCTTCTGGCGTACGCCGAGAGTGCACCGTTGTGCAGGTCGATACATACAGCTTCGCAGGAACACGGCTGGACAGACAATAATGCACGTGCCTTGTTTTAGGAGGATCGGATTGTGGCCTTTCAGTGTGGTCCTCGTGATGCGCCTTTCTCTACGAGGGGAGGTGGGTCGTCTTAGGGCCACGAGTGCTCATGTTGCCACCCAGGCCCAACAAGGCAGGCCAAGAATTGAGAGTCGCCTGCCTTGTCATATGGGCCTTTCGAGGAGGTTAGTCCCGATGGCGAGCGGCGCCCAGGAATCGAGAGATGCCTCGTTCGGGCTGAGCTCCGGGGGGCACTTGGGCCCCGATCGCCATCTCCCGGCTGGGGCGCCGTGGAGGCGGATGGGTCCCCGTGGCGAGCGGCACCCAGGAATCAAGGGTCGCCATCTCCAGGCTGGGCTCCTCCTCCTCCTCCTCCTCCTCCTCCTCCTCCTCCTCCCTCCTCCTCCTCCTCCTCCTCCTCCCCTCCTCCCCCTCCTCCTCCTCATCCTCCTCCTCCTCCTCCTCCTCCTCCTCCCTCCTCCTTCCCTCCTCCTCCCCTCTCCCCCCCTCCTCCTCCTCCTCCTCCTCCATCCTCCTCCTCCTCCTCCTCCTCCTCCCCCTCCTCCTCCTCCTCCTCCTCCTCCTCCTCCTCCTCCTCCTCCTCCTCCCTCCTCCTCCTCCTCCCTCCTCCTCCTCCTCCTCCTCCTCCTCCTCCTCCTCCTCCTCCTTCTCCTCCTCCTCCCCTCCTCGTCCCCCTCCTCCTCCTCCTCCTCCTCCTCCTCCTCCTCCTCCTCCTCCTCCTCCTCCTCCTCCCAGCGGCACCCAGGAATCCTGGGCTGGGGCCGCGGGGGCGGGTGGGTCACCGTGGCGATGAGCAGCCAGGAGTCCGGAGGCGCCGCCCTCGGGCTGGAGCCACAGCGGGTGAGAGTGCGGTGCGGGTCCGTCCGCGGGAAGCGCAGAGCGGAGGTGAAGCTGGGTCTGGCTGCGGGGGGAAGACGGGGCCGAGAGAGCAGGAACTGGCTTATCGGGACCACGTCTTACTTTGAGCCGAAAGCGGATCCAGAATCTGCTGTCTCTATGAAAACGTATACAGTGCCTTCACTGGATTAGGGTCCCACGGGCGCAAGACAGGAGTACGAATATACCGCCTTCGACTGGGCCACCTCCCCTTCTCTTTTTCTGAGTCGTCCATCTGAACTGTCACCTGGCCCGTCTGCTGGTGTGTTTGGCCTGCCTGCCTCGTCTGTCAGGTCTGTCTGCATGGTCGGTCTCTTTTGTCTGTATGTCTTGATTGTCCTGGGTGTCTTCGCTGTCCTGTCTGTTGGTCCAGTCTGCCTGTGCAGACCATGGTCCTTTCTAAATATGGTCGGCCAAGACTTTCTGGTCTACCTGCTCAGTCTGGACGCTCGGTCTGGTGTGGTTGGTCCGTGTGCCGTTCCGTCTGGTCTGATCTGGTTATGGTCTGGTTGGTCGGTCCTGTATGTTGGTCGGTCTGTCCGGTCTTGTCGCTTGATTGGGGAGTGGTCAGTTCGGGGTATGCCTACGTAGTTTGCCTGGTCTGCCTGGCTTATCCACCCTGTCCAAGCTGTCTAGATCGTCGGGTGTGTCTGCTGGTGTGTCGGATCTGCCTGTTCGTCCGTGTAAATTGAGTGCCCAGTGTGACTTACTTGTTAGTCTCATTAAAATGTTTTGTCCGTCCGTGCTGGCTGTTCGTCGGGCCCATCTGGTAAGCATGTGTGTCCCTGCCGAGTTAGTCTGGTCTGCCTGGTCGGTCTGGTCTGGTCTGCCAAACCTGGTCTTGTCTGTCTGGTTGGGCCTGGTCTTGTCTGTACTGTCTGGCATGGTCTGTAGTCTGTCCTGGTCAGATCCAGCCTTGTCTGGCCTGTCCGTTGTGTCTGTTTGGTATTGGTCTTGTTTGGTCTTGGCTGCCCAGTTTGTCTAGTGTCGACTGCCTTGTCTGATCTGGCGTCTGGCTTAGCCTGTCATGCCTGATCTGGTCTGACCTCCTGGTCCATATGTTATGACTGCTCCGTCTAGTCTGGTGTGCCTGGTGTTACGTGGTTCGATGTGGTCTGGTCTGGCATGTCTTTGACGGATCCGGTTTGGTCTGATTTCTTTAGTTGTTGCCTGGTCTGGGCAGGTCTGGTCTCTTCAGATGTCGTCTTGTCTTGCCTCGTCTGGTCAGGTGTGGTTGTCTTCCTTGTCTTTCTCCGTCTCCTGCTCATGTCATCCTTTTTCTCCTCCTCGCCCTCCTCGTCATATTCGTCTGGGTTTTTTTTTCGAGGACGCTCCGCCTCCTCGTCATGTTCCTCTTCGTTCTCACCCCTCCGCCCCCTCGTCTTCAGGATGCGCTTTTTCGTCTTTCCCAGTGGGGCACACTCGAACTCCTTTGGGTCTGTCTTGGACCGTCTTGGGGTGCTGGCTGGTGTCACCAAGGGCTGACTTGGCTCCCAGGCCTTCGCAGGGAGCTTTCCAGGTCTTCCCTTGTCAAAGCTATGCCGTCTTCCCCAGCCCGCTGGGAGGGACCCGCGAGGCCCGGATTGTTGAGGTGGCAAGCTCGCAAAGGAAAGACAAGGGACCGCCTCAGGTCGTCTTGGTGCTCTTCGTGTCTGTCTGGGGGCCCTCTTGGGGCCATCCTGGGGCCGTGTTTGGGCTCTCCGTGGGTCTTCTGGGGACCATGTGGGACCCTCCGGGGCGAATGAAATCTGGAAGCGTTGAAACACTTGAGGCGTTTACTTTTCTGTTCGTTTATACTTTCTCTCAGGGGTCTGCTGGATGGCTCCTTGGGCCGTCCTGGGGCCCCGTGGGACTCCCTGGGCGCTGTCTTGAGGTGCTCTTGCGTTGTCCTAGAGACCTCCGCAGGAGGATCCTTCTTGGGCCGTCTTGGGGCACTCGTGGCTCCCTGGGGCGGTCTTTGGCTCGTCTCGGGGTCGCCTGAAGCAGCCCTGCGATGTCAACGCTGAGGGGGTGAAGGGCAATCGGGTCATGGGGCTCCCCGGGAGGTCCACTGATGGGGAGCGTTCCAGTTTGGAGGGGGGGGAGGTCGGGGGGGGGGTATGTGATTGTGTGTCCACTGGTGGCAAATCGCCGTGAAAGTGCATTTTCAGTTTCCAGTCGTGAAGCACTGTGGCCGAGCTGAGCTCGTGAGGCTGCGCCCCGCCGAGCAATGCCAAGCCGTGCCGGGGGCGCGGCAACGCCAAGCGGTGCCAAACAGTGGCAAGCAGTGCCAACCAACGCCGAGCAATACCGATCGATGCAACGCAGTGCCGGGCAATGCCAAGCCATGCCAATCCATGCCACGCGATGCCAAGAAATGCCAAGCGATGCCAAGCAATGCTAAGCATTGTAGATCGATGCCAACTAAGGCCAAACAACACCACGCAATGGCAGCCAATGCATACCATGCACACCAAGGATCTTAAGAAAAATCTGCAACTTTCATGGACTCCAGATTTCGTGCAAGAAAGTGAGGAATCTGGTCTGGGCCCTGGGCGTTTTCTTGGAGCTTCTTTTGTTCGTAGAGTGCTCGTATACCTGGTGGCAGCCGCGCCTCAGACTGCGGCTCTTTCTCCCTGCACTTGGCACCGTGCACTACCACGGCCTGGGCCTCTCCTGCACCTTGCACGGTGGCACAACGTTGCACTCCGGCCCAGCGGTGCTCCTCTTCCTCTCGGACGTCGCCCTGGATGCGGACGCGTCCTCTCCCGCAGTTTATGGGGCTGGTGTACATGATGCGCCGCTGACGGCACCACCACCAATTCTCCATCACCCGGTACTTCGCCTACGGGTTCCTGTCCAAGGCGTTCCTTTGCATGCACTTCGCTTTCTGCACCGCCTGATCCCGGGGCTTTGCCCTCTCCTGGCCTCTTGACGCGAGGCCCTGCCCTCTTTTTCCCTTCCTCTGTAATGAAAGCTGTGCGCGGCCCGCTTAGCTTCGACCGGAAGAGGCTCGCTCTTGACCCGCGAATCAAAAACGTTCGTATACCTGGACCTGGATTACTCTTTAAGAGAACGAGAACGCTTGGAGTGAAGGCAGTTTTCTTGGCGTAAAATTTCCTCAGCTCCGAGAAGGGGTGTACGAAGTCGCTTGCCTGGGAGGCTTTCCCCGAATCGGGGTCGCGCCGGGTTCATTGTTTTTGCGTGGTTGGTTGGTGTCCTCTACAAGCGCGCTGGCTATCGTGTCGGAGGGCCTTCTCAGGGGCTTCCATTGAATTTATTGTGGACCTTGGCTGGCTTCTGGGAAGTCTCTTGGGGATATTCGGACTACCTGGAGGGTATCTTCGGGCCATGGGGGAGGGTCCAGAGGTCTTCTAGCGATATGAAAGCCGTCCAGGGGCTGTCTTTTGCTTCATTTGGGGGTATTAACAAGTACAGACCGTTCGTTAAACGTACATATGCTTGAATTTTGGATACCATATATTTCAAGATCTTTCTTGTTTCAATGTAATGGGGGGTCAAGTTGTTTACGCTCTTATGGGGCGGACCTGCTTCATACTTCTATGTACGTCTTCCGAGCGGCCAGTATATAGCTGACGCCATCTTAGGGCGTCAAGCACGGCAAATAAAACAAGCCCGATGCTTCATGAGCTTGGCACTCTGGGGTGTCCCCATGGGTCTCTTTGTGCCTTGCTCCAGCCTCCCATGCTGTGGCCTGCTGGGCCGTCCTGTCAGCATCCCGAGGCCCGGCTCAGAGAAGTCTTCAGCAGGGGAAGAAACACACAGACACAATGTTTCGCCGATTCTCAGAAAATATGGGAAAATATGGGAAGTGGGGGGGAAGACAGAAACCCAGAAAATATGGGAAAATATGGGGATCCTTTTAGTTGTGTGTATTTATTTGTGTGTCCTGGGGCCCCTTCAAGTCTGCTGGGCCGACCCGGAGAAGTCTTGGCGCCCTGCTCCCGCGTCCACAACGGGACGGGCGAGCTCAGACCTTCACTCTTCGGGCCCCCGCCCCTCTGCCCCCTTTCACTCTACGTGTGTTTCGGTCCCGTCGGCGTCGGGTGGTGGAAAACTTCACATGCCTGGTGACCCAGAAGGGGTCGTCGGACTTGGATCAGGCGAAGGTCCACTACGAGGGCTTCGACAGCTCCCACGACGAGTGGCTTCCGATGAGTTCAGACCGCATCGTGGCCCGACAGCCGCCGCAGCAACAGCCGCACCAGGGTCCGCAAGCACTGCAAGGGCAGCAGCAGCCTCAGCAGCAGCAGGCGCCAGGGGCAGACCTGGCAGTCGGGGCCAAGGTCACCGTGCTGAGCCAGACAGGAATGAGGCGCGAGTGCACGGTGGTTCAAGTACACATGGACCAGGTAAAAGTGCACTACGAGGGCTTCGACAGCTCGCGCGACGAGTGGTTGCCGAAGACCTCCAATCGCATCGTGAACAATCAGCAACAGCAGTCTTCACAACCGGTGCAAGCTCAGCCACCAGCAGGGGGGAGTCCGCAAGGACACCAGCAGCCGATGCAGCAGTCTCAGAGCATGGAGCTCGCCGTGGGTACCAAGCTGACTGTGCTGAGCCCATCTGGCGTGCAACGTGAGTGCGCGGTTGTGCAGGTCGACTTGGATCAGGCGAAGGTCCACTACGAGGGCTTCGACAGCTCCCGCGACGAGTGGCTTCCGATGAATTCAAATCGCATCGTGGCCAGACAGCCGCCGCAGCAACAGCCGCACCAGGGTCCGCAAGCACTGCAAGGGCAGCAGCAGCCTCAGCAGCAGCAGGCGCCAGGGGCAGACCTGGCAGTCGGGGCCAAGGTCACCGTGCTGAGCCAGACAGGGATGAGGCGCGAGTGCACGGTGGTTCAAGTACACATGGACCAGGTAAAAGTGCACTACGAGGGCTTCGACAGCTCGCGCGACGAGTGGCTGCCGAAGACCTCCAATCGCATCGTGAACAATCAGCAACAGCAGTCTTCACAACCGGTGCAAGCTCAGCCACCAGCAGGGGGGAGTCCGCAAGGACACCAGCAGCCGATGCAGCAGTCTCAGAGCATGGAGCTCGCCGTGGGTACCAAGCTGACTGTGCTGAGCCCATCTGGCGTGCAACGTGAGTGCACGGTTGTGCAGGTCGACTTGGATCAGGCGAAGGTCCACTACGAGGGCTTCGACAGCTCCCGCGACGAGTGGCTTCCGATGAGTTCAGACCGCATCGTGGCCCGACAGCCGCCGCAGCAACAGCCGCACCAGGGTCCGCAAGCACTGCAAGGGCAGCAGCAGCAGGCGCCAGGGGCAGACCTGGCAGTCGGGGCCAAGGTCACCGTGCTGAGCCAGACAGGTATGAGGCGCGAGTGCACGGTGGTTCAAGTACACATGGACCAGGTGAAAGTGCACTACGAGGGCTTCGACAGCTCGCGCGACGAGTGGTTGCCGAAGACCTCCAATCGCATCGTGAACAATCAGCAACAGCAGTCTTCACAACCGGTGCAAGCTCAGCCACCAGCAGGGGGGAGTCCGCAAGGACACCAGCAGCCGATGCAGCAGTCTCAGAGCATGGAGCTCGCCGTGGGTACCAAGCTGACTGTGCTGAGCCCATCTGGCGTGCAACGTGAGTGCGTGGTTGTGCAGGTCGACTTGAATCAGGCGAAGGTCCACTACGTTGGCTTCGACAGCTCCCGCGACGAGTGGCTTCCGATGAATTCAGACCGCATCGTGGCCCGACAGTCGCCGCAGCAACAGCCGCACCAAGGTCCGCTAGCACTGCAAGGGCAACAGCAGCAGCAGCAGCAGCAGCAGCAGCAGGCGCCAGGGGCAGACCTGGCAGTCGGGGCCAAGGTCACCGTGCTGAGCCAGACAGGGATGAGGCGCGAGTGCACGGTGGTTCAAGTGCACATGGACCAGGTGAAAGTGCACTACGAGGGCTTCGACAGCTCGCGCGACGAGTGGCTGCCGAAGACCTCCAATCGCATCGTGAACAGTCAGCAACAGCAGTCTTCACAACCGGTGCAAGCTCAGCCACCGGCAGGGGTGAGTCCGCAAGGACACCAGCAGCCGATGCAGCAGTCTCAGAGCATGGAGCTCGCCGTGGGTACCAAGCTGACTGTGCTGAGCCCATCTGGCGTGCAACGTGAGTGCACGGTTGTGCAGGTCGACCTGGATCAGGCGAAGGTCCATTACGAGGGCTTCGACAGCTCCCGCGACGAGTGGCTTCCGATGAATTCAAATCGCATAGTGGCCCGACAGCCGCCGCAGCAACAGTCGCACCAGGGTCCGCAAGCACTGCAAGGGCAGCAGCAGCAGCAGCAGGCGCCAGGGGCAGACCTGGCAGTCGGGGCCAAGGTCACCGTGCTGAGCCAGACAGGGATGAGGCGCGAGTGCACAGTGGTTCAAGTACACATGGACCAGGTGAAAGTGCACTACGAGGGCTTCGACAGCTCGCGCGACGAGTGGCTGCCGAAGACCTCCAATCGCATCGTGAACAATCAGCAACAGCAGTCTTCACAACCGGTGCAAGCTCAGCCACCGGCAGGGGTGAGTCCGCAAGGACACCAGCAGCCGATGCAGCAGTCTCAGAGCATGGAACTCGCCGTGGGTACCAAGCTGACTGTGCTGAGCCCCTCTGGCGTGCAACGTGAGTGCGCGGTTGTGCAGGTCGACTTGGATCAGGCGAAGGTCCACTACGAGGGCTTCGACAGCTCCCGCGACGAGTGGCTTCCGATGAATTCAAATCGCATCGTGGCCAGACAGCCGCCGCAGCAACAGCCGCACCAGGGTCCGCAAGCACTGCAAGGGCAGCAGCAGCAGGCGCCAGGGGCAGACCTGGCGGTCGGGGCCAAGGTCACCGTGCTGAGCCAGACAGGGATGAGGCGCGAGTGCACGGTGGTTCAAGTACACATGGACCAGGTGAAAGTGCATTACGAGGGCTTCGACAGCTCGCGCGATGAGTGGCTGCCGAGGGATTCTGGCCGCATAGAGGCTAACCAGTCCATATCCAGAAGCTGGCGCGCGCATTTGATCGGAATTACATCGGACCGCCATCGACTCGGCAGTGATGATATATTTTCGAGTCGCAAGCTCGCGTATGTGTTCGAAAGCGATATGCCCGTCGATCGGCATCGCCTCAGGGACAGACCTGAACTGAGGGCAGGTTTCTATGGAGGCTCCAGCGCACCATTCCCTGCCCGCATGCCTCCGGTAGACTTCGAGCAAACCGTGAGAGTTCGAGCGAGCCTCTAGCGCAGACGGGCGGACGGACGGACGGACAGACAGACAGACAGAGGCAGACAGACAGACAAACAGACAGACAGTCAGGCAGGCAGGCAGGCAGGCAGGCACACCGACAGACACGCACACACACACACACACTTTTAAGTCGGCGGCGCAGTGGAACCTCAGGCGCGGTGGGCAGATGAGGATGCCTATTGCGACGAACTTAGTCGAACGCGCCGTGATGAAAGAGTCCAGCCACGGCCATGCAGATTGGCGGTGGTGGTGGTGAAAAGATGAGGCACTGCAAAGCCGAACTGCAGCGGCCAAGCATCCCGCGGAGCGTAGCTCGACGCCAGGAGTTGAAGCGCAGGCAGCAGTCTGGTGCTAACTTGCCAGTTGAAAGACACCCACACACAAACGCATGCACACACAAACATACACACATACAAACACACACACACACGCACACGCTCACGCCCACGTCCACGCCAACGTCCACGCCCACGCATACGCACACGCGCACACAAACACACAAACACACGCACAAACACACACACACACAGACACACAGGCACACACACACACACGCAAACGCAAACGCACACGCACACGCACACGCACACGCACACGCACACGCACACGCACACGCACACGCACACGCACACGCACACGCACACGCACACGCTCTCGCACACCCACACGCACGCGCACACGCACACCACACACAGACACACACACACACAGACGCACACACGCGCACGCACACGCACACGCACACACCACACACCACACACCGCCCCCCCCCCCCAACACACAGAGACAGACAGACACAGACACAGACACAGACACAGACACAAACACAGGCACAGACACAGACACACATTCACACACAGACACACAGACACACACACACACACACACGCACGCGCAGTCTTTGGCTCCGTGGCCATGTTGGCTCAAGCCAACGCGGCACCCGACAACCACGAGTCCGAGAGGGCGTTCTGAGCGCGAGGGGTCGCGCTTTGAGCCAGAGTCTCGGTAAGCAGCGCTCCTGTCTTCCAGCCAGTTTGGGCCCTTTGTCCTGTGCGTGGCGGCATTGTTGCTGAGCGGTGCCCGCTCACGGAGCGATGGTGCCCCAACCAGGTGCGGGAGGGAAGGCTGGCGGAGGTCGCCTTCCTGTGCAAGGAGCTCGGCACCCTTGCCCCCTCCTGCAGCCGCGGGAGATTCGCTGGCGTCGCCCCACCTTGGGATGCTGCGAAACCCGGGAAGACCGCCAAGATCGCCAAGGCCAAGGACACGGAATTGAAGCGCACGCGCGCCGACCTGGCGGAGTTCAATCACAAGCTCAGCATGGCGACCCAAGGCAGTGACCCTGTTGCCCAGGGGCCAGCCGCGGACGCTGGCGGCGTGGCCAGCTTCACTGACGACCCACAATATGGTCGGAATCCGACGTCGGCAGCGTCTTGGCGAACTACGAGGCTTGCTGGCTACACTTGGGCAGCTCAGTGGCCCCGCTGTGGGGCACGCGCGGTCCCAGCCGCGGGAAGAACAAGACAGCCCCCAACAGGAGGAGCTGCCGGCCAAGCCCGTCGGCACCCAGGTCCAGGTCCTGCAAGGCCGCGTCGAGAAGGCCCAGAAGGCCGTCCTCAGCGGCGAAGACGGCGCCGCCCGCACCACGGACAGGAGGCAGAAGCTCCAGGATGAGCTGCGACATCATGAGGCCAAGCTCGCTGCGCAGCGCCGGGAGCTCCTGGGCCCTAGAACCGACCAGAAGTTTTACGGCATGCTCGTCTTGGTCTTCTTATGCCGCTGGCCACGTGCGCGGGCAGGAATTCATCCCTGGTCTGGGGCTATCTATGGAGTCGCTGGACAAGATTTTGGAGAAAGGGTAGGCACCAGAGCAGCATTGCAGGAGTGTCAAGAGAGTCATGGCGGCCATGGCGCAGCTCGCCGAATTCGGCAAGAGCATGGTGGGTCCTGCAGCGCCCATCTAGCCTGGTGCACAAGATGGCGCGCAGTCTGGAGCATCGCGTCCTGCAGCGCAGCCAGGTCCTGACCCTACCGGTGCGGCGGTGTCAGCGACGACATGGTTTTTGCACAAGTCCGACATGTACTATGCTGATGATGATGAGCCTGCTATTCGCGCTGTTGTCAAGCGGGTCAGTACCAAGCTCAACCCAGCCTGGCAGTTACAGCAGGTGTTTGCTGCCGTTCGTGCCCGCACCGCGGCTGCAGGAACCGCCGCTGGTGCAGCTTCAATCCCTGCAGCAAGCGGCGCTGCGGGCCTGGCCACCGCGCAACCTGCCCATGTCGCTCCTGCATCAGGATGCTGAGGCGCGCAGTTCC